CTAGATATTGGCTGAATTCCCTGCTCTGTTCCTTAAATGCAATTCCGGCTGTGCCACCTTAAAAATGAGCAGCCGAGGGAAGAAACAGTGCGTACGTCATACACCTCAGGACACCCCGCTTTGAGATGTCGGGTTGCGTCTGTGGTATTAAATGTTTTAAGGAACTGTCAGGCTTAATTGGTGCGTTTGCACAGCTCTGGATAATGGCTGTATCACACCACCGAGATCTTCTCCTTTCGTCCCTTTAACTGTTATTTAAATATTGCCATCTGTGAATAAAGCCTACAGAATTAAGGAAACAGCTTTAGTAAATTAAAATCCTAACTGATACATAATTTGAAGATTTCAGGGCCGTTTCTTTGATGATTAGCACATTTATCATTCCTGTCCTATGACGAGCACCTGATTTTGTGCTCAGTATAGCAAGAGACCCGCTACACGCTGAGAACCTTAAATTCAAGGAAGAAGCGCAAAATCTAGCATATCAAGAGGAGACACACAGTCCTTTTAAGAACAATAGAAACACTGCTCCAAATGCATGCTTCGAGGGACACGAAGGTTACATGACCTGAGACCTAACACTACAGCTGTCCTTCCATGCATGAACTGTCTTTCCTGATTCCTCCCCTAGTCAGACGTCCAGTGTTAACCATGCCTCTGATTGGGTAGCAATTTAAATGTCTCTTGCACGAAAAGCACCAAGGACCTTTTAAAACATCATGAGTTGTCCCCTCAGGTTTTCTGTCATTACCTCAGAATGCTTTCCCTTCCTAATTATCAAATTAATGACATTATTTAATAGTGCAAATGATAATTCCAATAGCTAACATTGTTTTTGAACTCTGCATGCCCAGCTCCTGCAATAGGATTTACACTCACTGATTTGCTGTTAGAATCATCCATGTGGTAGATGTCACTATGGCCTGAAGTTGGCTTGGCAAGGGTCGAGGCATGCAGAGTCACAGAATTAATTATGTTGGTGCTTGTATTGAAATCTGAAATATTCTACCTAAAGTCCAAAAGAAAGAGCTTGTTTAACAAGAGCTTGAATGGGAGAAGGAAGGGAAAGAAGGCAGGAGGGACCAAGGGATTAAAGGGAGTACCTGCTGCCTATAGGAAGGGGTGACAAGGGACAGTGTTTATTGTGTGCATTTTTGTTATTGTTTTTCCACGAATTAGACCAATCAAGTGTCTAAAAGGACACCCACCTAGTGATAGAGAAATTACCTATTTCTCTAAGCTACATGGTAAGTGAGACATTTTAACCAAGACTACAGGAAAATTCTGGTCACAGTAGCTGATGCTGGATCACTGTGTCTGTGTTTAGTAGTAATCATCTACTGAGCTCTGCCTTCTGTGTCTGAATGTTCTATTAGGAGGCAAGATGCACAATCAAATGGCTATCAGGCCAGCAGGCCTGAGACTTGGGATTCAGATAAGGACCTCACCATTTTAGATCCGTGGCTCTTAGGAAATTAGTCTCCAGAAGTCACAAGTCACCTATGGCTAAAGATCAAAACCATGGAATTAGGGGAATGATGAACTGTGAAGTCTAGAAGAGGGGCATTACCATCATGAGTTGCCCCAGTAAATCCTCACATCTTGCAATTTTTCTATTTTACAAATGGGGAAAACAAAAATCCTACAAGGTATGTTACTTGCTAAAATTAGCTCACCCAGTAAACTGTAGAATGAGAATTGGATCCTGGGCCAGCTTGTTGTATACCAAAGTCCTTACTAAGAAGCAGATGAAGCAGGTGCTTGGGAGATTGTTTGAACACTAATTCAGCAAAGCTCTGAAGAATGGAAGTAGGTCGACTTACATTGAAACAGTGATGATTTCCTCAGATACCTGACATCAGCAAGCTCCGGCCCTGTGATGGGTCATTGGAGTCACTCTGCTGACATCCTCCTGAAGATCTCTGTCGCTCCAGGGTAGTATGTTGCTGCTGAAATGAATATCACATGTTCTGCTGAGCATGTAGATTCCTAAGTGAGCATTCTTAGTGCAACAACAACATATTCATACATAAATATGAATCAAGTACTAGTCTACACAAGACATAAAACTACAGGAATAGGGGGCTGGAGAGATGGCTCAGCAATTAAGAACACTGGCTGTTCTTGCAGAAGACCCAGGTTCAAATCCCAGCACCCACATGGCAGCTAACAACTGTCCGTAACTCCAGTTCAGGGGATCCGACAGCCTCTGCTGTCCTCCACAGGCATTACATGACATGGCTGCATTTACTTGCACATACACATAAAATAAAAATAATAAATAAAATATTTTTTTAAAAAATCATTTTTGCACAGCCACAGATGTCCAATATTAAATGGACATTCCATTCCTGAAATAAACAATGCATTCTTAAGTGTCCATATATTCTTCCTATGACGATTAAATACATAGACTTGACCTATTGTGGTTTGAGGATGTTTAAAAATCTAAAAAAATGAAATGCCATTTGATGAGCACCAAGGACCCTCCCCTGAAGCCTGCTTTACACTGGCTCACACGGGCTCACACTGGCTCACACTGGCTCACACCGGCTCACACCGGCTCACACCAGCTCACACCGGCTCACATTGGCTCACACTGGTGGGTAGTGGAGGAGGTACATGGGCAGCGAGTAGTGCTAGTTTCTGTGTTGCATCACCTTAAAATATCTCGTAGGTAAAGATCGGAAACTGGTCTGTAAGTGACTTTCTCTGAGGACTTTTTCATTTCATACCTAGGAGACCTCCGATTTTAATCTGTTGTGTAAATGGGAAAACGTGTACCTATGGGTTCGGTTCATTCTTCTATTAAATAGAAAAACATGGCTTTCCAAACTAGAGTGGCATATAGTCAACTATCAATTATGGAATAGATTCTTAAAAATATTTGTTATTTTCCTCTTTGAGAACTCTCTAACACTGTGTGGGATGTAGACAAAGCCCCTATTTCTTTGATCCCTGTTCTCTGTATCTTAGTTGTTCATTAGCATTCAATGCAGTTATGCACCCTGTGGACAGTCTTAGTCTTTAGCTTTGATCAGAATCTGCAGATGACTGATTGAGAACAATCCTGGTTTGCCCCCATAAGCTCCATGATTAGCTCCCTGGTAAAGTGAGGCCTAAGAATGTGCTGGTTGCCACAGCCCACATGCGGCTTAGGCACTATAGTTTGAAGGCCACTCATACAAGAAAGAGAATAAATTGACTTCAGAGTCAAAACACTGATACTGAAGGCTCGCTATAAATCCAACATCAATATGGGGTTGGCTATCTTTTAAACTTTCCAAGGCCTACTAACTCTTCAAAATAATGCTGCTGGGGCTGGAGAGATGGCTCTGTGGTTAAGAGCACTGGTTACTCTTCCAGAGGATGTAGGTTTTATCCCAGTGCCCACATGGCAGCTAAGAACCACCTATAGTTCCAGTCCCAGGGTATCTGACCGATGCCATCTTCTGACCTCCCTGGGCATAGCATGACTCGAGTGCACTTATACCCATGCAGACAATGCACTCATACACATGAAATAAAAGTAATAAACAAAATATTAACATAAAATACTGCTGCATTTCTGAAGGAAACCAACTGGGTATTCAGCAATGGATTCACTTTTCTCTAGCTGCTGGTGAGTTGAGCTTCTGATCCTTAGATTGGATGATATCGGGCACTCTCATGCACTTTCCTTGAACATATGTGGATGTTATCAATACAATGCTATTTGACACAAGGGAGATCTTTGAAACCCCAGCAAGAGTGTGAAGAGAAATCACATAGCAGCACCCAGAGCAGATACTTAGAACACTCTCATCTTGAGGGGTGGAGGGCACAGTACAGTTTGTTTGCCTACACTGTCACTTGCAAAGGCCAATTATTCACATTGAATTAAAAATCAGGAATTGAGGAGGGGGTGACGGGGTTAGGAGAGAGAAAAGAGGATGGGAGGGAATTGGAATGCATTGTGTACATCTGTGACACGTAAACTTAATGAAAAGTCACGTATAACATGTTCGGAAAAATTAATCTTTACTTTGGGCCCAAGACATCAGTAACTATTCTAAGCTAGTCTTCAGATTTATTTAAGATTAGCAACATTCTAAGGCTGTGCCTGTAGTCCCATCACTCTTAGGCTGAGGATTGGAACAAGTTGAGGTCATCCTGGGATACAACGCATGTTCTAGGCCAGCCAGGGCTACATAGTGAGACACTATCTTTTAACAAAGGGAAGGAGGGAGGGAGAGGAGGATGGAGTGACAACTGGGATGGCTCAGACTGTGGACCTCACCCCCACTTCTTTCCCATTGTATGGAAATGCTTCCAGTCAAGTCAGAGTCCTCTGCACTTGAAGCAACTGGTTCAGCTGCACACAGAGGACTGTACAGAAATGTGTTTTTGCTCTATGTTTTGGGCATTTTTATCTTTCTCTTTTGCAAATCTCCTTTAAACAGTGATAACACCGTGAGAAGTTGGCTTTATTTTGTTTCAGAGTGGAAATCCCTGAAGTGTAGCACATTTGCATAGATGCAAGAGTTAAGTAAATTCCAAAGTTTCTGGCTGTAACTTCTTCCACAAATGTTGTTCTCATAAAAGAGCCCAGAATTATTGAAGCTGTTACCTCAGAAAGGCTCGAAGATGGCAACATCCAGGCAGGAGAGCAGGCGTCAATGAGGGACGGGAAAGGCCCATCTTCACAGACCTGTCAGGAAACATATCAGTAAATTGCTTGTCTCTAAGTACAAGGGCCTTAAGGTGTGCTCAAGATCCGGACCTAAAATCCATGTGCTTTTGAGAAACCGAAAGTGACAGGATATAATCCGCCTGGCTCATCACTGCCGAGAGCAGGTGCACAGCCATTGTTCACTTCCCTGATACACATTGTGTACCGCACATCTACCTCACTCCCTTCTCTAGCCTAACCTTTCAGTGACAGTAAACATGACTTGACAGAAGATCCAACACAGAAATTACATGATCTTTAACCTTTTTGTGATTTGTGACAGGTTTAGGACACATCTGGACTAATCCATCAGGAAGGAAAAATATCCTTGGAATTATAATATGACAGCAATCTTTAGACGTCAACGGCTCTGAATTTGTGCTTCATACCTTCAGTGACATCGAAATGAAGAGAGAAATAAAGATGTCCAAGCCAAAGACGTGGATTTGCTTAAAGTAGAGGAACCTTGAATACATATTTACAAACCGAGTCTTATGTTTCTGTTAAGGAGTCTCTCTCTCTCTCTCTCTCTTCTCTGTATGTATGTGTACTTGTGTATATGCAACTTGTGTATGTGCATGCACGTGTGTGTGTGTGTGTGTGTGTGTGCATGTGTGTGTGTGCACGTGCATGTTTCGGAGAAACAGAAAATTTATCTGTGGAACTGAGTTATTAGCGGATGTGCATTGGAATATGTAGGTGCTGTGATGTGCCTCTAGGGGAAAATGTTCTCATAAATGAAAATATTTTTGATGTATTCCAAGGATGTGGGTCCAACACTAACACATGTCCAAATAGTCATGAAATTGTTTATGAAATAAACAAACTATATAATTAGATATGTTTCGATTTAATGAACATTCTACAGAACAAAGTGTGTATTTTCCATTTGACTCCTCTTTTCTGGGGAAGGGGTGACTTTCCTCAACTGGAAAATTGTATAAGAAAAATTATAAATTAAACTAGAAAAAAATTGTGTAAATTCAGCTCAGCAATTTCTTAGAAATCAGAAAAGTAAGTCATTTCCCTGTACTAGACACTATGCATGCCACAAATGCATCAGTGTACGCTGGCAAATAACTTCACACACTGAACTACAATATCAGAGTTTTCTACACAAAGAAACATAATTTGCCTCCACCCTTGGCTCCTTGCCACATTACCTGACCATTCCAGATAGCAGTGGGCTCAGCCTATGTTCTCTGCCATCTTTTCTGTCATGATCTGGAAGTCCTTCATTGCCCAAACAATATAAACTTCTCTCATCTATGATTATAGTAGTAATTTAATATCCCTCTGAGTGGTGAGTGGAGATCATCTATGAGCCACTTACGAATGCATCATACAGTAAATAAGAAGAAATAATATTCTTATAAAGATGCTGTACTAGCCTGTAACCAACTTTAGCCACATTTCTTTCCCACAGATGAGCCGTATAGGTGTCTTCATTGTTGTCTGTGGGAAAACAATAGAGGTGTCTCTGTACCACACTGACTGAACACCTGAGTTA